GCAAGTTAACATAAACTCACTAAAGACTTCTAGATCAAACTATCGTTGTATTTCTAGCAATCCTAGCTTAATAGGAATGTGTTCAGGACTATAAGAATTGCTTAAATGTCTCTAAGTAATCCAAGATTCAATGTTTCTAGTTAGCTACTCTAAAACCATGAGCGTTAAGAACATCATATTAATGAGTATAACAACTAGCAATAATATAGTTGAGACTAATCCCTCTAACCTATTTAAACCCTAAATCCAACAAGTAAACTACTCAGACATAGCTAAGCATTTTATAACACAAATAGATAAATAAAACTGCATATTATAGATAGAACGATAGGTAGAAAACACTGGAGTTCCAATCACAAATCTCTCTGATGATCTTCTCTCCAAATTATAAATCCTAAAACTTTGCTGTGAAAAGAATACAAAAAACTCTCTCTTTTGCCCATAACATTTTGGCAGAGTATATAAACTTAGGTTAAAACTCGCCAGGGGTAAAATTGTTATTTGGTGATGATTGGGCTTCAAGTCAACTTGTCTCGCGAATTGGCTTCTATGTCTTGATAATCGATCGACCATGAAAGGTGCATGTCGATCGATCTGAGTCGTTCCGTGTCGACCTTGTGATCCATTCCAAATTGAACATTTCTTCCAATTTTCTCCAAAATACACCAAAAACATCATTTTCTTCCAAAATACTCCTGAACTCATAAATATGCTTAAAATTTTCTATAATATAATAAATAGTAGTAAAAACACTTATATACCATGACTAAAAACATGTCAAAATCATGGTATATCACTATGTTTAATTAATTTTTGGAAAACTGAAACAATTTTGAAATATATCTATATATATGTATATATAATTTAAACTATATCAAATACATGAATATTTTAATTAATCTGCAATATTTGAAATAAAAAATCTAAATTATAAAATTATTTAATATGAAAACAAAATTATACAGCTTATCCCTTATATGTTAAAGGAGAAACATTTAAAAAATTGTAACCTCAATTTTGTAATAATTAAAAAAGACCCCATGCTTAGGTGTCACTCAATTACGTAGTCAATTACATTCAATTGAAAAATATGTAGGTTCACATTCGATTTTTATATGTCGATAGATACATTCGTTGGTCAAATTATATGATATGATGATATGATATGATATTTATGATAGAAGCATTTATGATTGTTCCCCTAGATATAATTACTATTTTATTTTCTTTCCATAAATAAAACCTACGGAATTACCATAAATGACTAATATATATATATATGACACTTAATGATTGTTCCCCTAGATATACTTACTATTTTATTTTATTTCCATAAATAAAACCTACGGAATTACCATAAATGACTAATATATATATATGACACTTAATGATTCTAATAATAAATATTTGATAACAGTTTATATATCCTCCATCATTTTTCTTTAATTTTATATTATTAAAATAAATTAAACAATCAAATTAGCTATAAAATTAAACTTTAGACTTTTTCGGATAGGTTATATTTTGAATTTTAAAAAACGAGAATAAATAACTAAACTATTAAAATTATTATGTTAAAAATGAATGATCAATAGTTTAACATTTTTATTATAAAAAGATATACATGATTTTAAAATCATATAAGTAAAAAGTATCATTCAATAATAAAAAAATATATATATATATACAGATTAAACTATATACCATATAAGATTACATAAATATTTTAATTTCAAAATTTTCAATAAATTTTCAAGAACATTTATAAATTATAAACTTATTAAATTTTTCACATTAAAATTTTTTGTTATCAATGATTTAAATATCTTAGTTCTTTTTTTTAGTTTTATATTTTTAAAAGATATTAACAATCGATAATATGGTTATTTTTGGTATATACCATACAAACCGAATGGATGTGATTTTATAAAAACCATAGGATTTGGATATGGTTTGATTTATAACCGATTAAACTGAAACATGTAAATATGTGTATATTTATAACGACGCATGAATATCTATTTGTTACATGAGTTGAACTATAATTATAATTTGTAAATAGCTAACAATTTATTACAACTGAGACTTCTTATTTTGATATTTTGCTTTTTTTAGCAGTAACTAAATTGAAGTAAAGATCATAAATTTGATGGACAACAATTAGTTGAAATTCTTTACAACTTTTTTTTTATCTTTAAACAAACATAGTTGTGTTCAATCGAAGACATATTGGTTTGATGAACACTAAATATGGAAGAATATAAAAACTTTTCTTTCATGCTTCTGTTTTGTTTTTTATTTTTATTTTCAAAATTTAGTGTTTTAATATTAGTTCTAGTTTTGATCATTTTATTAGATGATAGAAGCTTTTTTGTTTTTTATTCTTTTATTTAAATATATCATATTTTTTTAATAAATGACTCTGTGACAATATGACTCTAAATATGATCATATTATATATTTGTATAATATATAATATGATCTAAAACTAAATAATTATGTTTTTTGGTATAAAATTGAATAAACTGAAAACCGATGGTATATAAACCAAATCAAACTGAAGCACATATAGATTTAGAATAGTAGTTATATTTTAATGATCGAAATACCAAAAAATCGAGCCGAACCGAAACCCGATATCCGGATTGGACACCTCTAATCCGAATGAAACCGAACTATTGTTTCATAACATAATAAAAATTAATAGCTTCATCTCGCGCAAGGCGCGGATCTTATCCTAGTTATGATTAAAAGACATTATAGATTCTAGGAAGTTGTCCATTTAGACCAACGGTAATTCAATTGACCTGTTTAGACCCGTTAAACTTATTAAAAATTTTGAACTTAAACTCCAAAGTAAATTTACAATTTTAAAATCTATTTGAAGTGTATTTTCAAAATTGAAACAACTTTGAAATATATATATAGAATGTACATTATTTATTATATACGTGATTTTTTAGTACATACAGATTATTAAATAATAATTAAGAATTGTACAATTTTGTTTTATCATTAATGAATTTCTAGAATCATTCAAAATAAAATTATTGAATGATTTTGCGAAAATAAAATTTAAGAATAAATGTATAAGAATATCTTGAAAATTGACCTCATTAAAGAATAATGTGTTTTGAAATAGTTATTATTAAAGTGGTACATCTACTCTATTAAAATAGAGTCATTCTTTTTATCTACTGATACAAGTTGTCATTTAAATTTGGACTCTTTTTAGAGTGTTACAAATAATACAAGTCATATAGTTAACAGAACCGCATTACTAAAATTAAACCGATGGTTGTTTATGGGATATAATGTTGGGCTTACTTTTGTTTTTAGAACAAATTACATGGTTTGATTTTTATAGTTATTATTAAGGAAAACTCCAAAAACATTGAATTAACTTTTCATCTTACTGGATAAAAAAAAAACCAGTTATTATTTTCAAGCCCAAAAGGTATTTAATATTTTTAAACAAAACAAAATTGTATATTATTAATCATTTATTTAAATCATGTACTTTAAAACATGTTAATATATTTTTTTATTTTAAATAACAATCACTTTGTTTTGATAAATTTCAATGGTTACTTTTAAATAATTTATTGTTTTATTTCTCTTAAATAATTTACTGATTTAAAGAAAAATGTAAAGAAAACCAAAAACCAAATCTAAAAACTAAAATACAAAACCAAAAACTGAAAAACAGGTTATCCTTTTTTGTTTTTATTTATTTACAAAATAAACTATTGCAAATTTCTTTAAGAAAATATTTGTCGTCTTTTCAGTTTTAAATTAAATGTTCGATTATTTGGGATTTGTTTGTTAGTAATATTAGTTCTAACTAACTCGGCGGGTCTATAAATTAAAAACCCAAACCAAAAGCTGAAAATCAAAAATAAAAACTTAAAAACTAAAAACCAAAAACCAAAATCTAAAAATAAAAACTGAAACTAAAATCTAATGAATAACAATCATCACCACAAATTTTGGTGAACTGATTTTATCCCAAAACATTCTTTAAATTAATACGAAACCCAATTATATAAATTTTTAATCATAAAAAATTTATGTGCTTTTCAAGCGCGGGCTTACTTTTGTTTTTAGAAAAAATTATATAATTTGGTTTTTAGGCTTAATATTAAGGAAACACTCCAAAAAATGTTGAATAAACTTTCCATCTTAATAGATCAAAAAATCAATTATTATTTTTAGGCCCAAAAGGTATTTAATATTTTTAACAAAACAAAATTGTCTATTATTAATCATTTATTTAAATCATGTACTTTAAAACATGTTAATGTATTTTTATTTTAAATAACAATCACTTTATGTTGATAAATTTCAACGGTAACTTTTAAAATATATTGTTTTATTTTTCTTAAATTATTTACTGATTTAAAAAAATGTAAAGCAAAACCAAAAACCAAATCTAAAAACAAAAATCAAAACCAAAATATGAAAACACATTATAGTTAGATCATTACATTATTTGTATTCCTTTCATTTCTGAAGAAAGACCAGATCTGAAGCTTGGGCTCGGCGGTTCCGGCGCGTGCAAGCGCGTTCTGACGTCGGAGCCCCCATTTTCTCATTTAAATCTCATTTTCTTCTTGTGTGTATGAGTCTTTTACTTCCCCTCTGTTTTGTGTTCATTTCTGTTTGTAGAGGCTTTTTCCAGATCTGGATTCGCTCTTGACAAGTTCGGTTTGGTCACGAGCTGGCTGGTGCTGGAGTCGTGGCGTGATGGACTTCGGCTTGGCTGGTGGATGTGTGGTTTTCTTTTTATGGAGCTGTCTTGGGTTGGTGAGGTAAAGTTGTGTCCTTTCGTGGTGTTGTTTTTTTGGCCTTGTTGCTGTGTGGCTGGTTTAGATTTGGCTGGTTCTGTGTTTGGAGTCTTAGTGAAGCAGTAGAAGCCTATCCGACGGGTTATATGGAAAGATTTTGTACTCCGGGATTGATGTACCTAGTGTTTGTTTGGCTCAATAGTCGGTCGTGCTATGTTCATGAGCGGGTACTCCCACTTTTTCTTATCTCATCGAATAGTTGGCGTTTTCTGTGTGTCAATGTCTTGTGGTTGGGGTTTGACTTTTGGATGGTATATTGCTGTGGAGCCATCTACTTACTTCATCTCTGTGACTTGTTCGCGGACCGAAGTATTAAGACGAAACAGTGATGTCAATCTTCAGCTCATCTCTTGCGAGAACGTGACCATCCTGGTGAAGTATGGGTACACGAGGGTCCGTGTGTATGAGTTGCTGATCTTTTTAGTTGGTGTCCCCTCTTCGAGTTTCAAGGTTCCACCTTGTGCTTTGGTATCTCAGAGTCGTTGGCGTGTTGTTGCAGATGTGATGGGAGTGGTCTTTGTCTCCATGTCTGTTGCAGTTTGGCGTTGTGTTTTCTGCCAGATTAGATTCCTGTGGGATTGTGGTTACGCCTATATGGTTGTGGTTTCCTCAAGTTCTTGTTTGGTTCTTATGGTTTTTAATCTGTGCTTGTTTCAGTTTCTCTTGAACCCATCGTTTGATTGACGTTTGCGTGGAGCTTGGAAGTCTCGGTTGAAGGTTGTGCTTTACTCTTTCTATCTTTAGTTGCAGTCCTTCTTTGTGGTGTTGTTGTTTTATCGGTATGATTGTCTTGCCCGTATGGTTTGTAACAATTGTACTTTCAACTTTCGTTAAATGCAATCCATAGATGACAAAAAAAAAAATAGATGGAAGTCCTAAAGGATCCTTCTTCTCAAACTTTAAGCTGCTAATAATTACTCTCACATAAAATCTGATTTGTTTGTGATAGAGTGACATTTATTACCTGCAAAACACATTGTTTGAAAACAAAAGTATGACTCAATAATGTATCTTATGGAAGGCAACTCTAGCCGGAAAATTGGAAACCACCGAGTCAAACCGGTTTCAATCATTGGTTGGCAAACTTAACTCCCTTCTCGATAGAAGACTTGAGCTCTGGCTTCAATGCTTCTAAGCCTTCTTTCTCAAAGTCAGAGAGTGGCCCCAAATCAAGAACCTCCTCCACTCCGTTCTTTCCCAACCTAACCTGAATAATAAAACCAAACCATCACATTCATCAACTGAGTCATGAGACCGTAGCATGCACATTGCGTGTTTGATTGATGCAAGGATTACCTTTGAGGCAAAGAAAGGAAGCTCAGTGATTGTGGACTGCACGTATGAGCATTCTACAACATCTGGAACACCGTTAAGTCCCTTCAAGCAAGCATCAGCGAACAGTGCTCCAGCATATCTGTGTCACAATGATCAGATTACAAAATTCAAGAAGAAAAGTAAAGAATAATGACGAAAAGGGCAGAGCAGAATACTTACGCCATTGACAATGTAGCTGAACCTTTCCCTGCTTTTGCCTCAACGACTTCTGTACCTCCATCTTGGGTACGCTTGGTGAGGGCGGTGAGAACGTCACCTGATAAGTTAGCTTGAGGAGTAGCCTACATTGTTTACAAAAACAGAATATGAGTTAGCCAAACAGAGTTAAAAAGGTGTAAGATAATATGATGTTTGAGTTAGAGAGGTAACCTGAGAGAAAAGTGGGAGAATAGTAACCCCAGCATGACCACCAATCACCGGAACATTAACTTCTGTAGACAGACACAACAAGCATTCACAACTTAATAACAACAAATTTTTATGATGACAAAAGAGGAAGAAAGGCAGACACACGAACCTGCAACAGGGACATTAGCCTTTCCAGCATAGAAAGTCTTGGCCCTCACAACGTCAAGAGTGGTAACACCAAACAACTTCTTTTCGTCGTACATACCAGCCTTCTTGAATATTTCAGCTGCAATTGGAACAGTAGAGTTCACTGGGTTGCTGATCATATTAACAAGTGCCTGATTCAACACAAAAGAGCAACTCCAAAAATTCAGCCATTTGATTAAAAAAAGAAAACCCAAAAGGAGACATATAAGACCTAAAAATATCAACAATCATGCTCTTGGTATACTCAACCATATTTAATAAGTGCATAATTCAAACGAAAGAGTAACTCCAAAGGTCAGCCAATTTATTATTATTATTTTTTTTTTTGTAAACCACAAAAGGAGACATTTTTAGACCTCAATAACAACAATGACCATCTTGGCATACTGAATCGTAGAGTGGCATATGAGATCTATTAGTAATATCACAATCTCAGAGTTGCAAATAGAAGAGTGGAATGAGATGGGAGAGGGGGTATTACATGAGGGCAGTACTTGGCGATGGCAGAGCAGAGGTTCTTGACAATGCCAGCATTGATGTTGAAAAGATCATCACGAGTCATACCAGGCTTCCTTGGGACACCAGCAGGAATGATAACGAGGTCAGCTCCTTCAAGCGCTTTGGCCAAGTTATCATCTCCCATGTATCCAACTACCTATTACAATACAAAAAAAAAATAATGATATCAATATTAAGCCTAAGAGATCTTTTAGCTTCCAGGAAAAATAATCAAGAATGCACTCTCAAGCCTAAATAAAAGCAAACGTATCTCAAACATAAGCTAAGATTAATATCTCCAGATCTAGTAGTAAGTATATACAATACCTGAGATCTGGTGTTGATGTGACCGACATCAGCGGCGACTCCAGGTGTGTTGGCGATATCGTAGAGGGAGAGACTTGAGACGAGGGGGTTGAGTTTCATCAGGAGAGCCAGAGGCTGACCGATTCCACCGGCGGCGCCCAAGATGGCGACTTTTCTCTCGGGGACGGAGGATGAGGAGAAGGTACGGCGGAGAAGCGATTGCTTCGCCGAGGAAGAGGATCGGACGAGCATGGATCTGAACATTTTGGGGGGGGGGAATTTGCAAGGAGATGCGTTTTAAGGTTTGTGGTGAAGCACTGGTCGAGGATAGTGTTTGATGATGATGAGATATGTCTTGTCTGACTCTTTGCTTTTAATGCGCTTCCACTTCCCTGGTGTTTTTGGCTCTTTCTAAAAGCTTCTGGGTTAAGTGTGTATTAAAAAAACAATGGGTTACTTACTGTAATAAAACGAAACATTGGTTTAATTGTTGTGTAAAACAATACTGGTTAGTCATTTCAAAAAGGGAAAATTCCTTAAAAATACACCAACTGAGTTTCTTTTGCTAAGAAAATACATCAACTTTTTAGACTTCCCGAAAAATACACAGAGTAATTTTGGTTGTCTACAAAATACATGAACTTTTGAATTTTGAAGGTTTTACACCTCGATTTTAACGGCGTTAACTCTGATTAACAGAACATTTAGACGTCGTTAGACGCTGTTAGACGACGTTAACTCTGATTCAAAAGTTCATGTAATTTTTGGACAACCAAAATTAGTCTGTGTATTTTTCGGGAAACCAAAAAAGTTCGTGTATTATTTCAGCAAAGAAAATTTAGTATGTGTATTTTTAAGGAATTTTCAAAAATATACTAAGGTGGCAAAGACATTGATTTTTTTTGTTTGACGGAAAAATGTAATTTTTGAATATATTTTGTTCATATTGAGGCCGGTTTTTCTAGGGTCAGTTTGGATCTATATTTAAAATACGTGTAAAATACCAGTAATTTTCGGATATGTATCATGTAATAGAGAATGTGTTTTTGTTTGGGTCGGTTCTTNCAAAAATATACTAAGGTGGCAAAGACATTGATTTTTTTTGTTTGACGGAAAAATGTAATTTTTGAATATATTTTGTTCATATTGAGGCCGGTTTTTCTAGGGTCAGTTTGGATCTATATTTAAAATACGTGTAAAATACCAGTAATTTTCGGATATGTATCATGTAATAGAGAATGTGTTTTTGTTTGGGTCGGTTCTTTTCGGATCTAAGATATCCGGATCTAAGAACCGGCCCAAACTCGACTCAAAGAACTGAACAAAAACACATTCTCTTCCACATGATACAGATCCAAAAATTACCGGTATTTTCCACGTATTTTAATTATAGATCCGAACTGATCCTAAAAAGACCGACCTCAATATGAACAAAATGAAGAAAATATAAAGAAGCCAAAAAAACACATTGTTCATATTAATACTCACGTATTTTAATATATTTTGAACAATGTGTGTATTAATATGAATAATGTGTTTTTTTGGCTTCTTTATATTTTGTTCATTTTGTTCATATTGAGACCAGTTTTTCTAGGATCAGTTCAGATATATAATTAAAATACATGGAAAATACTAGTAATTTTTGGATATGTATCATGTGGAAGAGAATGTGTTTTTGTTCAGGTCTTTAGGTCGGGTTTGGGCCGGTTCTTAGATCCGGATATCTTAGATCCGAAAAGAACCGGCCCAAACCCGACCCAAAGACCCAAACAAAAACACATTATGTATTATATGATACATATCCAAAAATTACTGGTATTTTACACGTATTTTAANCTTAGATCCGGATATCTTAGATCCGAAAAGAACCGGCCCAAACCCGACCCAAAGACCCAAACAAAAACACATTATGTATTATATGATACATATCCAAAAATTACTGGTATTTTACACGTATTTTAATTATAGATCCAAACTCACCCTAGAAAAACCGTCCTCAATATGAAAAAATATATTCAAAAATTACATTTTTTAGTCAAACAAAAAAATCAATGTCTTTTCCACCTTAGTATATTTTTGAAAATTCCTTAAAAATACACATACTAAATTTTCTTTTCTGAAAAAATACACAAACTTTTTTGGTTTCCCAAAAAATACACATACTAATTTTGGTTGTCCACAAAATACATGAACTTTTGAATTAGAGTTAACGCCGTCTAACGGCGTCTAAATGTTCTGTTAATGAGAGTTCACGCTGTTAAAACCGAGGTGTGAAACCTTTAAAATTCAAAATTTCATGTATTTTGTGGACAACCAAAACTACTCTGTGTATTTTTCGGGAAGTCTAAAAAGTTGGTGTATTTTTTTAGCAAAAGAAACTCAGTTGGTGTATTTTTAAAGAATTTTCCCTTTCAAAAATAAACCCTTAATTTCTTAAAAATAAAATAATAAAAACCCGGTTACCTACTGAAGGAAAATTTTCCATAAAAATACCAAAACTATAGATTGTTAAACTTTTTAATACTCCATATTTTTCTATGTCCAGTTTAATACCTTAACTAGTTATTTTGATCATTCTAATACACAAATTTTTAAAATTGTGTTCGTTTTAAACTTCAAACAATATTTATTTTAATCAAAAAGATTAATGAAGTTCCAAACAAAAAATTAAAAATCTAAGAAAACAACTTTAAAAGAAAATCTTCAAAGTCAAAGTAAAAAACTTTAAAAGAAAATCTTCAAAGTCAAAGAATAAAACTTTAAAAATTTAAACAATCTACAAGAATTTTTTTTTTTGGTTACAAATAAGTGTCGTTTTCGGTTTCAATGCAAAATTTATTAATTTTTTTATGTAATTTGTTTTTCTATTGGTTAAAATGTGGTTAGGTGTATTAGTAATTGTGTTTTTATATAGGAAATATGTAAAATTAATTGTTTCATTGATACGTGTGCATAACTCTAAACTGACACTTATAATGAAAGAGAGTGAG